TTATATATTCTTCATTTTTATTTGCTACTTTTATGATCCTATCTTAGTTTTCTATCTCTTCTCTAAATGATTTCAAGTCTAGTTTTTTCCCTATAGTTTAGTTTTAATGCTTATACTCTTATGCTGCATCTAAATTATTGTTTGATAATTCAATAAGATCGGTTCTGAATCTACAATCACTTGGCAATGGAGTCTCACTTTTAATGACATAGGCTGGATCTATCTTTTCTAAATCCCAATATTTAATTCCATCCCAACTAATAGATTCTAACCAAGAACCTTCTAATTTAGATATTACTCTGTTATGTTAAAACATAGTGCCCCTAAAAATACAATCTAAATAAAATACTCAAAGTAATCAGTTGGCTTCTAACTTCTTCCAATTAACATACCTGCACCCTCAGAGAATTTAATATCACATATTATATTATTCTTTTAATCAACAAATTTGATACTCCCATACCATTCTAATAATCTAGCACCATAAATTAAACCACTGACTTTAACAGGTGGCATACTAAATGTAATTCTTTAACCATCACTAAATTCAACAACATTCTCACCAACTTAATGTCCTATAACTGCATTATATCTTAAAGCAGCTTAATATTCAAAATGACCAAAAAATCTATATCTCTTCCTAAAATGTTCTATATAGAAATGTGAAATAGGAGGATGATGACTTGTATGTTCAATACAAATTGATGATCCATCTTACCAAGAACCTTAAAATGTTTCACCTAAAATAGGATTGAATGGTTTCTTTTATCTGCCTCCATTGTATAAACCAGCTATTATCATTGTAACAACAAGTTTAAATCTCTCTTTTTCATCCTATTATCCTAAAGCATATTCCATATATATAGGCATAAAACCCCAATAATCACATATTCTTTCAATCATAGATCTAGGTTCAAATATACGAACAGGTAATGAAAATGAAATGATATTTCGACCTTCAAATAATTATCTACCTGCTGATCTCATTAAATCTAATACTAATCCATCCTATGCTTTTATTTCTTCCTTATTAAAACATTCAATTCCACCCTCTTTAAATCTTCTATATCCTGGTACTCTTTCTTCTAATCTTTTACTTTTTAATTATTATCCATTCTTCAATAATGTGATTGAATTTATTTATTCATCAAATCCTACAATAGATTTTGATTTCTGTTTAATATAAGTAGATGATAATTCATTTACAATTGATTATTAAAATTAATGAAATCTTTCTTCATCAATAGTTTATGAAATCAAACTTAAATTCTCTGCTTTATTGTATAAATATTTTTCCTAATATTTATAATAATAATACTAATTACCAATTCAGTAGTTATTCTTTAGCATGTTATCTCACAATAATAATTCACTAATCCTTTGCCTGAGACCTTAGGAATTCTTTATATTTCATAGGCTTCAAACATATTAAACTTGTTTTTATCAGAAGTCAAAATGTCAACAATGAATGAATTACCATTATTAATGATGAATCGATATCTCAATAAATTCATTTAAATTATGACTGGTTTAGATACTATTTATTTTTGTCTTATGGGATGTATTATAAAATGTACTTTAGCTCTTTTCTATATTTAAAATTAATAAATTTACAGTAAATTCTTATTCGTTATTATCTTTTATTTTATTTATTTAAACAAAATTACTATCCAGAACTTTTTTAAACTTAAAATTCTTAATTATTCTAAATGCTTTTGTTGAATCAACATCACAAACCATTCTTCCATAAACACGTATAGTCTAAGCTTTTTGTTTATTAAAATAAGATGCAGATAATCCTGCAACAAAAAAAGCCATCAAAAATGGTAACCAATTAGGTTTTAAATAGACAGCAATGCAGAATACAATACTTAGAATAATATAGAGTTTCCAATTCCTATTATTTTTATTTTAGATTGGATTTTCATATATTTTGACTCCATTTCTAAATTTTCTAAATTGCCATTATTATTATAGATCATCAAGCATAGTCAATATTTTATATTTAGATAATTCTGAAGGGATAGTGTCAGTCAATAGATATGTATTTGTAACAGCAAAAGAAGGTCGTTTTTCAGTTTATACTACTGCTGTTGTAGCTTAGGATATCTCTTCATGCCATTATTCAGTTTCATCTAGAGTTTCACCACTGAAATAGAATTATTTATTATTTTAGGCTTCCACTTCAATATAAAAACAATGTTCTCTATCATCCAAAGTAGACATAGGAGATATGTAAGCTTCCCTTAAATTTATGGCTCCTCTTGGTACCTTATCATTTCTATCTTTAAAATATATCAATGTTTATCCATCTAAAACTAAATATCTTTAATTCCAATTATAATCTATGGGTCCATCTCCTCTTTTCAAAATCATTCCTGCTTTTTTTTTCTACAATTAAGGTGGTCTGGTAGGTGTTTAGGAACTTGTTAGACTAACTTAAGATTATTTGACAGGAGTAGAAAAAGTTGATTAAGATAGATTAGGATAGTGTTTAAAGTATTTTTTCTTTAATCTAGATGTTGATGATAATAAATTACTCTTTATATGAGGTTTTTTATAAATCTTTTAGAGATGTTATTTATTGATACAGATTTAACTTGACTTCTTATTATTGTAATAGAACTTATTTATTCATTCTAAACAATTCAGAATCATTTATGCCCTACCAAACATTATAAGTAAGTAACATTGATTTATAGAAATACAATATGTATTTTCTAATTATTTCTGTTAAGAATTATGCAATTACATTTGACTCATCACCATATTGATAGATATTGATTTCAACACTTAAATTAATAGCAACAATGTTAGGACAGAATCGTTACCAATTATTCTTTTCTAAAATGCCAAAGTTGTCTCTTAATTTTCTTTCTACATCTTTTTCATATCCCTTAAAATAATCCAATTCTTCTGCAACTACATCTATGACTTAAGCAGCTCTATTTGGATTTGGAGTTACTTTGGCAATGATGGCAACTTCAATTCCTGAAAATTAAACCACATTAAATATTCTTTATTCACAATTTTCAAATGAGGTCTTACGCTCTTAAATTTGAATCTATTTCTAATTTGTCAATTACACCATAAACTCTGGTAAGTAATTAGAGAGTATATACATTTTGACAATTGGTGACTAACTTAATATCAATATAATACTTATGATACCAATTCAACTTTTTACTAATTTTATTTACTCAAATCGAAGTCAATCAAATAGTCTACAAATTTGCTTCCCTTTTAGAAATTCTAAATAGGATGAGCAAAAAGTTTACTTCAGCATTTATTGGTAATATGACACTATATTATTATTTCATTAAATTAATGGACATATCAATAGAAAAAGTAAAACATAGAACTAATCATGAAAGTATAAGATTATAGTCCTTAATTAAGAAAGATATTTCTTAAAAACTAAAAAAAAATCACTTTTCTCCACCTTCATCACCATCTATTTTGGAAGCTGTTCGATCAAAACCATTGATAAAAATTGAAAGATAACAAAGATCACCAGTAGTTTAACAGATAAATGATTTAGATTTTGGTTACATGGAAGAATTAGAAAGGAAAAAGATGTTCATGATGATTAGACTTGGTCATATTAAGGATCCTTCAAGATTGCTTCCACTTCATAACTATGATAAAATACCAGTTCTTCCAAAAAAAAAGAATAGAAAAAACAATAATACACCATCACCAAAGATATCTCCTTTGAAAGTTTCTTTACATAATCCTAACGATATTTCATTACCTACTTTAAGTACAAGATTACTTGAAGATCCATATTAAATGACTAAAATACATAATACAACTAAGAAAAAATTAGATCAGAAATAAAGAAGATTGAATGTTATCAATAAAAGAATATTAAATAAATTCTCTATCGAATGAATAATCATCAAATAATGTAAAAAAAATTTATATTCACTATCTATGGATACTACAAATTGATATTTTATTTATTAATATATTTCTCATCTTATTTCAAAGAAATTTTCATAATTGATACTTATATTAATTGAATATAATAATTTCTTATATATCATATAATCTTAAATTCATTATTATGTTTCAATTATTTGTGTTTTTTTAAGGTGCATGTAATTAATTATTAGAAAAAATATAAATTTAATATTTAAATGGATATAATCGATTTTAACAAACCAAATACAGTCAAGAAGGTTAAAGTTGGTAATTGTATTTACCTATTGAAATAGTCAAAAAGGTTGTTACTTAAGCACCTGTAGTCAATAAATAATAATAGAATAAAGAATACTACAATAAGGCATTAGAAAGAATTATTCAATTATTAAAGGAAAATAATCCATCCTTAGCAACTCAAACTAATATCTAGCTTGAAAAACCCTAGATTGATAAATTAGGAACAAAGAAAACTTTGTGGAAGAACTTTGAGGCCATTTGTACTTAAATGAATAGAGAAGCTTAACATGTTAGTTAATATTTTCTAATTGAATTGGGTACTGAAGGGTATTCTATAAAAATTAATAATAGATCATAAGCAGATGAGAAATTGATTATCAAAGGTAGATATACAAGTACTTAAATAGAAACATTAATTAAAAAATATTTGTGTAATTATTTATTTAAAATAATAGATGAATATGTCTTATGTTCATTGTGTAAAAGTTCAGATACTACTTTAATAAGAGATGTTGAATCTAGACTTTACAGTAAAGAATGTAAAAATTGTAAGGCCACAAAAACAGTTGCGACACTTAAGATTTCAAGTAAGAGATAAAAATGATTATTAATTGCATGTTATTATTATTATTTTATTATTATGGTTATAGAAACTCTTTATATTCTTTATTTTTTTTATTAATCTAATTATATATCAATTATATATTGTTTTAATTTTCTAATTATTTTGGTTAATCAAAAGGAAAATTATAATTTGATGATTTCTATAAAGTAATTTAAGAGATGTTTGATTGTTTAATACAAATTCATTTTAATAAAAATTATTATTAAATAATTCATAATAAAGTATCAAATCTATCTAATAACTACTTTTTGGTCATTGATCTTACTTCCAAATAAGCATCCATTGTAGGATCTAATTGTTTATAAATATAAATATACCTATATTCTAATTCATAAATTTATCAACTTACAATGCATCTAAGACTTAGACACAATGTGTTAATAAGGTTTTCTCTTAGTTAGTATCTAAGAAGGCAACGTAATTAGATTATTTAATTTAATTTACATAATTCTTAATATTTTATCTATAGTTATCTTTAATTTCTAAGGATTAAGCATCTAAAATAATTTTATATTCTTTCAATCCTGTATTTAATTAATCTACTTCTTTAGAAATAGTTTCAACTAATCTTGTGAATTCAAAGTTGGATTATAATCTATTATCTTATGATTATTTTAAATGAATTGATAATTTGTTTAAACTAAAATATTCAGTTGCTGTTGTACATTAATTTTTAATGACACTTAATAATTGTTATCCTCTATTATTAGCCAATAATAACAAATAATATGCAATTAATGGAGATTCTTTATTTTATGATTATTCCAAAATAGTATGAGCAGTTTAACACATAAATTATACTTTGCATCTTTCATTTACAATCTCTTATAATATACTTACATTATTATTATTACTATTAGATGGCTATAGAATATTTTATTCAGGTTTATCTGAATAAAGTTCCAAATCTCCACTAAACTCACCATCATTTTTTAATGGTATTTTAAATAAATATTCCCAAGTACAACGTTTATTGGGATCTTTAATTAACATTGATTTTAATAAAGTGATTGTTTATTTAGTAAAATGAAATTATGGTGGTATAACCCAATCTGTTTCATCTTGTGCAGTGATTAATTTAGCAATTGATTTTTCTTCAAATGGACATTTACCAATCAATAATTCATATAATACAGCTCCTAAACTCCAAATATCTGCTTTACTATTATAGGAAAGTCCTCTTAAGACTTCTGGAGCCATATATATTGGTGAACCTAACATTGTGGCGGTAACATCATTTTTTATTGGTTTACAAAATCCAAAATCTGCTAATTTATAAATTCCATTATGTATTAAAATGTTTGATGGTTTTAAATCTCGATGTATTATAGAGTTTTCTCTTAGAACTTTAAATGCTTAAATTAATTAATAAATGATCTCTAATGATTTTCTCTCTGTAAAATGTCCTTACAATAACAGCAACTTGTCTAGAGGACCTCCAGAACAATGTTCATAAACAAAATGATATTGATGAACGGTTTTAATTAATTCAATAAATTTGACAACATATGGACAATGTTAAAGTTTTTAAAGCACTTCTATCTCTTGCATACTTAATTCAAGTAATTTTGGTGTTTCATTAAATTTAGCCACATCAACACTTTTAATGGCAACTACTGTTTGTGTAAGAAGATTTGTTGCTCTATAGACTTTTCCAAACTCCCCTTATCCAATTTATTCATGAACCTTATATTATTCAATCATTTTTTTAACAGTTAAATTAATAAATCAAAAAACTATATTGCTTATTTGAATTGCTTAAATGAATTTCATTTTAAAAGAGAATATTTAAATTAATAGAACTCATTTATTACATTTATTCAATTTATTCATATAATTCATTTTATCTAAAATACATAATAATAATATCATATGTCTTTTCTTTTTTGAAATTTCATTATAATATTCAACAATGAATTAGCAAATTAATAATAAAGTTTTGATTGTTATACTTTTAACAAAAAGATTAAAAATCAATTGAAAATAAGTTAAGTAATTTTGATTAAGTACTGTTTTGGAATTATAAAATGGAACTATTTTAACAAATAATAAAGCTAAATTTATTTAGAATATAGATTATTATGATATTAATTTTCAAGTAAAATCTTTTAATTTTTGTTAATCAATACTATTTTACCTAAGATTTGATATATCATTATATTTAATTTGCTAGAGCTAAGATTAGAATTAGAACATAAATTATTATTTAAAAAATACATTAGATATTATCATAAATCATAAGAGTATTAATATTTACATAATCAATGAATGATTTTCAATATTAGATTATTTATTCTTTGATAATTGGATTTCATTTAGAATTTTTAATGAATTACATAATTTCAATTTAAAGTTGAGATTAACATTTCTTAATTCTTTATAATAATATTTAATTTATGAATGTTGAAACATAGAGCAGTTTATATAACAAATTCAAAGAGTTATTAGATAAAATGAAGTATTATTAATCTAAATACTAGAAATAAGGAAAAGCCACTTGTTGTCTTTACACTTCACGAATTGAATTGTGATGACACAAAACAATTTTTTCAGGTAACTACTGAGTTAATCTCATCTGGCATAAATTTTGCTATTGCTAAAGTAATACTTAGAACAATAACTTAAGTAAATTGATAAGAGAATGTGGCACATAATTAAGCAATAAATCGATATTGAATTAAAAAGCATATCTCCTGATGTAGATGAAGAAATTAAGTAATTTTATGATCTTAGAATAAACTTTCTAAAAACTATTATCAAAAATCTGACTCAATAAAATTAATTAGGTGGATTAAAAAATGATAATGAATTCAGATAATTTTTAGCAAATTTATATTGTTATGCAGGTGAATTACATGAACATTTAGGGAGGAGATTAGAGAAGATGAATAAATAGCCTAAGGATAATTATAAATTTGCTGATCTATTCTATAATAAGGCTATTTCAATCTATCCCTTTTAAGGAAAATATTACTTCTTGATTGCTACATTAATGAGATAATTTTAAGACACATTCAATGCAGCATGTTGTTTGTAAAAAGCTCATTTTGCTCAAATACCTTATAATTGCAAAGAAAATATGAATGAAGTATTTGAAATAAATAGAACTCATTATAATGAATGGGCTAAGCATATTAAACCAGCTAGTGAATTAGATCGTGATACATATTTAAGAGCTTTTATGGTGTATTTAATAAGATTCAGTACGATTGTTGTATGAATTTAAAATAAATTTAGTTCACAAAAATAGGTTTTGAAGAGTTGCCTTAATTAGCTAATATGTATTAGCATTTATAGGAATACTTTAAGATAGTAAAAACAAATGTACATAATGATCATAAATAATAATATCAATTGTTATTAAAAGTAATTATGATAACCAATTTTGGTTTACATCATAGTTTAACAACATTTTAATTGAAAACTGTCTAAGATATCAAAGATAATGATTTAGTAAGAGAATCAATTAAATATGTTTATGGATTATATGTAAACTCACTTGATTTTATATTAAAATATTTGCTTTAGAATTCAATGAAGAATTTAGATTAAGTACCTCCAGTAACATTTTTATAATTAGTAATCCCAATTATCTATTATTTATTTGATTAACCTTTAATTTGTACATATTTATTGTCTGAATATCCTTCTTTAAATGATAAATTAGCATAGATCTTTTTATATTCAAGATAGAATCTGTATTAAGCAGAGAATTAGAGTAATGATTTATTTTAATTTTAATCTTAATTGAATGAGTAATTTCATTCCTTTTTATTTCCATTTGAAATGCCTTTAGTAGGATTCACTTGTTATAATCATGTTTTATAAACATTTAAACAATAATCTTCAACATATAAAGAAGAAGATAATTAAACATCAATAATATTATTTTATGTTTGTGAACAAATAATATAATAATTACATGGCATTTAAATATAGACTGTAAAAGAACCAAAATGGGAATAAGAGATTCCTAAAGAATTAATCAAGAAATTAATAATAATAGATGGAATGAATGTGGCAATGAGATATGGATAGGAATAATCATAGGCGGCAAAATTTTGTTCTTAGGGTTTGAAATGTGCCTTAGAATTTTGGGTAAAGAGAGGACATGAAGTAATGATTATCTTACCTGATTTTTGTTTTAATGAAAGTGAGATAAATAAAAAGAAAGAATCTAATGTAAATAATATTAATTAATTATTCTTTAGAAAAATAATATCAATAAATTACCTGATGATGTTAAATTATTATTGGAAATGAAGAATAAAGGTTATGCTTATGGAGTTCCCAATTGGAATTATGATGACTCTTATATGATTTAATATGCAAGAGAAAAAGGAGGATTAATTTTGACTAATGATCGATATAATGATCATATTAGAGCTTTAGAATCAAATATTGTAGAAAGAGAAAGATTGAAGGAATGGATTAGGAATAATTGTATCAGTTATACATTTCTATAAAATGAATTGGTTCCTAACCCTGATCAATTAAAAAGAATTTGAATATTAAATATGCATAACATAACATAACATACAATTTTTAAGAAAATGAATAAACAAAATTATTTATTTATGATGTACTTATAATTTATCAAATGTTATTGTTCAAATTTGATCTGGGGGGAGCTTATTATTAAACCTATTATGGTGCTGGTTGATATTAAGGATATTATGGATATGTTGGGTATGATGGAATCACTCTTGATGAAACAATTGGAGCAGCATATTAGACTGGATAGGTTTATACTGGTTAAACAACACTGACTGGTTATTATACGTATTATTGAACAACTGGTTATGGTGCAACTGTTTAAACAATTGGTTATTAGACCACTTATTAGACAACTGGTTGTTAAACAACTTATTACACAACTGGTTATTGAACAACTTATTACTAAAAAGTATATTAAAGAAATAATTACATGAACAACTTATCTTTCAACTGGATAATATTCAACTCTTTCTTAATATCTGTCGACTGGAACATATTCTAATAATTTTAATTTAATTATATTTACCTGTGTATTTCTCTTAGAATACTTATGGGACGTATTCTGTTTAATATTCAACTGCATAATAATCTGTGACTTTTCTTTCTCTTGGGACATATTAAACAACTTCTTGTTCTTCATATTCCATAACAGCCTTTTAGTATGGGACATATTCAATTCTTGATTCTCCCTTGATTGTTGCCTAATTTAAATTTGAATTTTTTTTCTTACATGAACTGATTGTTAAACAACTGGTTAAGCAATAACAGATTATTGTAAAACTGGTTAAGCAATAACTGGTTAAGCAACAACAGGTTAAGCAACAACTGGTTAAGCAACGACTGGAGCAACTGGTCTAGCAACACTGTATGTTAATGGAGCAACAGGAGCATATTATGCTGGAGCATATTAGGCTGGATAAGTGGCTAATGGGGCAGGTGAATATTATGGAGCATATTGTGGAGCATATTATGGAGCATATTATGGAGCATATTAAGGAGGTTGATATTATTATGGTGCTTATCTTTGTTGAGGAGGTTGATCTAGAAATGTAGAGAATAGTATTTTTACTTGATGGTGCAGGTGGTCTTTATGACATTTTTGATAAAAAGATTTTTTTTCTTATTTTTATTTATATATCTATGCCATAAATTTTATTGCTTAAATATCCTAAACTAATAATTATAATTAATGTAGTTAAGAAGTATCTCAAATAAAAAAAAACCAAGTTAGTTGACTTAAACTACTCAACTATTGGAGAAAGAAACTAAACATATGGTATTTATCAATCTAACTAAATTAATAGGAAGAACAATTATAGTAGCTTAAATAAATAATGCAATAAGAAAAATTTAAAAGAGAAACTGAAAAACCAACTGGATAAAATGGTACTAGATGGAAAGCTGCTAAAATAGATAAAGGACTAAGAAATTATACTCAAAATTTACTACAAAAAAAAAATAGTTTTGAAAAGAAATCAATTCCTACAGTTGTTAGACCAACATCAGCTAAATTACAACCTTTAGAAAAATCAATTAAAACACCAGCAATAGACAAAGATATTGAAATATTTTTTACTTAAGTAGGATTGCTTCAATATAAAGAAAAATTTTAAAATTACACAATTCAAAGTTTAAGTATTTTTTATTTCTTATTTAGAGAGAATGTCACTGTGTAATAGTTAAGAGAAATGGGCATACTACCAGGCCATTAAATAAAAATAATGAGAGCATTAAAAGAAATACCTGAAAATATATAATAAATGCAAGAAGATAGTTTCTGTTAAAGTAGAGTAAGTATGTCAGTAAGTGGAGTATAATGTGATTAAACAAAATTAGCATGTTGGTTATGTTATAAGATATTTGATGATGCAGAGATAAATTGTAATGGAAGAAATTTTTGTAGTTAATAATGTCTGATATAATTTAATTAAGAATATATGATCAAATGTTCAAAATGCAACAAGAAATTTTACAAGAATGATGGCTGTGTCGTTTATGATAATTACTATTGTTCTCAATCTTGTAGTATAGATGCAAATGATTCAGTTAAAGGATGTAGTACAAATACTATAGAAAGTGTAATAGAAGAGGATTAATTTCAATAAACGAATTATGCAGAATAATTTAATGAATTCTTAACTTCTAGTTTATTAAATAATTGATCAATCATCCTCTGATTGTTCTGAACAGTCTTCTTTTAATTTTAATTCATTAAGTTAATATATTAATTTATCTTAATCTAAGTTTGATTTGCTTTTCATTTATTACACATCATCTACATTAGATTCTTCTACTTATTAAACAATTTTTTTATCTTTTTCTTCTTCAGGCTATTATTATTATAATCGTTTAAGATCCTATAACTGTTATTTTTTTTCATTAACTTTCTTTTTTTTCTTAACCTCAACTGGAACTTGAACTCTTGGAACAAAGCAATTATATATGCGTCGAGAATGTGCAGTAAGATTCTTTAAATATAATTTATTTTTCTTGTATTCTTATTTTATTTTATCAAAGTTGATAACACTATTAGTTTATTTGATTCTCTTTTCAATTCCCTTATATTATTTTATATTTAATACTTCATTATCTTCAATTAATTTTCTCATTTCTAATATTTTCTAACCTAAATTAGATGGTTTAATAGGTAAATCATCATTTAAAGTATAAGATGAAGGTTGATTATTTATTGTTAAGATTTTCTATACTAATATTTTATTTTCAGTGTTTTCTGGATGTTTTATTTCTAGTAATTTTTTGGATGTTGAACATTTGAGTTTTTTCTTATGGAATGGTTTCTCTACATTCATAGGTTATTCTTTGATATTTTATACTTAATTAACATGCTTATTATATTACTATGATGATATATAATTTATACATATAGCAAATTGTACTCTGACATAGGAGTGATTATTTCATTTTTATTCCAAATATTTGTCATTAAAATTTAATGGACAAGTTCGACACAATTTAGGGAAAACTGTTCTATACAGTTTATTGTATGTACAAATAAAATGAGATAACTCATTACTAAAGAGGAAGAATTAAAGGTAGATAGTAAAATTTAATCAATTAGATATGATTGTTTAATGGGATCCTTTAATTCAAGAACTCATCAAAGATCAGAACAGACTTAAATAGAACCTTCTCGAAATAGCCTGTTCTTACTCAGACAATGAAGACTCTAAACAAACAAAAATCACTCCTAGAAGTTTCAGTCGATTGAATATTAGAATTGGTCAAAGCAACTTTAAATTAGCAANTTTTGTAGTTAATAATGTCTGATATAATTTAATTAAGAATATATGATCAAATGTTCAAAATGCAACAAGAAATTTTACAAGAATGATGGCTGTGTCGTTTATGATAATTACTATTGTTCTCAATCTTGTAGTATAGATGCAAATGATTCAGTTAAAGGATGTAGTACAAATACTATAGAAAGTGAAATAGAAGAGGATTAATTTCAATAAACGAATTATGCAGAATAATTTAATGAATTCTTAACTTCTAGTTTATTAAATAATTGATCAATCATCCTCTGATTGTTCTGAACAGTCTTCTTTTAATTTTAATTCATTAAGTTAATATATTAATTTATCTTAATCTAAGTTTGATTTGCTTTTCATTTATTACACATCATCTACATTAGATTCTTCTACTTATTAAACAATTTTTTTATCTTTTTCTTCTTCAGGCTATTATTATTATAATCGTTTAAGATCCTATAACTGTTATTTTTTTTCATTAACTTTCTTTTTTTTCTTAACCTCAACTGGAACTTGAACTCTTGGAACAAAGCAATTATATATGCGTCGAGAATGTGCAGTAAGATTCTTTAAATATAATTTATTTTTCTTGTATTCTTATTTTATTTTATCAAAGTTGATAACACTATTAGTTTATTTGATTCTCTTTTCAATTCCCTTATATTATTTTATATTTAATACTTCATTATCTTCAATTAATTTTCTCATTTCTAATATTTTCTAACCTAAATTAGATGGTTTAATAGGTAAATCATCATTTAAAGTATAAGATGAAGGTTGATTATTTATTGTTAAGATTTTCTATACTAATATTTTATTTTCAGTGTTTTCTGGATGTTTTATTTCTAGTAATTTTTTGGATGTTGAACATTTGAGTTTTTTCTTATGGAATGGTTTCTCTACATTCATAGGTTATTCTTTGATATTTTATACTTAATTAACATGCTTATTATATTACTATGATGATATATAATTTATACATATAGCAAATTGTACTCTGACATAGGAGTGATTATTTCATTTTTATTCCAAATATTTGTCATTAAAATTTAATGGACAAGTTCGACACAATTTAGGGAAAACTGTTCTATACAGTTTATTGTATGTACAAATAAAATGAGATAACTCATTACTAAAGAGGAAGAATTAAAGGTAGATAGTAAAATTTAATCAATTAGATATGATTGTTTAATGGGATCCTTTAATTCAAGAACTCATCAAAGATCAGAACAGACTTAAATAGAACCTTCTCGAAATAGCCTGTTCTTACTCAGACAATGAAGACTCTAAACAAACAAAAATCACTCCTAGAAGTTTCAGTCGATTGAATATTAGAATTGGTCAAAGCAACTTTAAATTAGCAAGTAAATCATATAGTTCATTATCATCCCCATTGGATTAAAGAAAACAATTATTAATATGATAATAATCAGATTATTTTTCTTTCTAAATATTTTTCAAAATTTTAGAGTATGTGTAGATTGTCATGAATGACTTTTTTTACAAATCCAATCATAATATCATATCGCATTAATACTTGTTTTCTTTATGGATTTGGAAGATAGGATCTTCTGATTTAAGTAGTTTTTCGAAGAGTTATTTTAAATGGTTTGTATCCATCTGAAGCATCAGATTCTTCATAAAACATTGATCTTTTTTTTCTTAATTAAAATTCCATTTTTGATGGTTCTTCAAGAGTAGGTGTAATATTATGCATAATCCTATCTTTCGTAATACGAGACAAAACCTATTATTAATCAGTTTCAATAAATCCAACATCAGGTTCTAGATATCTTTCACTACCAATTCCACCAAAAACTGCAATTTTAGAACTAAGTAAAATAGTTGAATGAGCACATCTAGGAATCTTGAGTCCTTCTGCAATTACTTATTACCAGATATTCAAAGTAGGATAAAAGATATAATATTCATCTGATTCTAAAGTGCCATTCACAATAAAATCTCTTAATCCACCTATGACAGCTATGCCTTAAACTTTTCTAAGATATTCAATTGTATGATTATGCATAGGATATGGTCCTTTACCAATAGTTTCAACAACATCCCATGAAAGAGGAGTATTATTGGAATTACAATAACTTAATTTGCGCATAACATTAATTGAATTCCCTTCAGCATCTTTACCTCCAAAAGAATATATATTATCTAATGGCATTATTTCAGTAGATATTGATTCTTGGAATTTGCCTTGAGATGATATATTCACTATGGCATGACAACTAACAGGAGGAGATTTTACCTTAAATAATTTCCACACCTACTTTTCTATATTGAAAACAGCAGTATCAGATAGAACTTCTTCATTAGAATTAATCCCTCCATAAACAAGCATCCACTTTGGACCTACTAAACAGGCTTTATGTTATCTTCTAGGTTCAATATAATCTCCTTGAGGATGAATCTTTTCCCAATTCATGTTACTTACAGTATATTCATATATAGAATTAGTGCATTCTCTAAGTTTTAATTTAGGATTGTATTGTCCACATCCACCAAAATAGATAAATTTATTTTTATATTGAACTACTGTTAATCCTGCTCTTCCTTATTTTGGATGATCTCCTATACCTTATACTACTTGCCAAATCTGAAATTCTTGAAATAATCAATCAATTTACTTATATCATATTTGAGCATTTGATTTCTAATTCCATCTCCTCCTATACCTCCATATAAATATAATTAATCATTGAATAGACTAAATGCAGCTTATTCTGTGAATGATGGTTTGAATGTTCTGATATCCCTAGTAAGACGTTGAGATTCAAAATAGAAAGTAAGTTGATTAGGAGTATCTATGATTTGTTCTATAGGAGCATCCAATTTTGGAAGCTAGAATACTAATTATATTGCAAGAATATATACCCTTTTATTATGGTTTTAATTCCATTGCTTTTTTTGGTGATTAATCTCTACGTTTCAGTTTTTAATAATTTCTAAATTTCGTCTTTTGAGTTAAAGATAAAGCTTCAGTCATAGCATTTTCTTATCTTTCCCTACTTTAATTTATGATAGTTTCTCTTTATTTCTTATTATGTTATAATTAAACTTGAAGTCGTTCTTTTGGAGAGGGTATTCTTGAAACTTAATTAGTGAATGCAGTCCTAAATCAATTCAAATAATATACATCTAAGGCATTTCAGTAAATGTTTTAAAGAAGGTGCTTTGAGTAAGAGAGGCATTCTTCTCAAATTATATTAATTCTATTTGAGGTTATACTGTCACAAGAGACGATGATCGTCTCATTGGTTATTATTATTGTGGCAATTATTTCAATTTTTTCATTAAATGCAATAATTTTTATTGTTAATTAATGTTCAGTCTTTCACCAATCAAACAGAATTAATACCTAAGTGCATCTAACTAATTTGAATAACCATTAGATGACATGAGTTGTATAATCGAAAATGGCAGTGTAGGATCCCTATATTTAGGTAATATTGAGTCAGCTTGTATTTAATCAAAATTAATTATTATAGCCAGTTTAGAAAACTTGAAGAAACACAAAATTAAGGGAGTTTTATCCATCTGTATGAATAAGATTCCTTTTGAAGTTTAAACATCCTTATAACATTATTTACATATTTATTTGGAAGATTGTGAATCTGAGAATATATCCAGACATTTTGAGAATTCCAATTAATTTATAGATAAAGCTAGATAATCAGGAAATGTCTTAGTTCATTGTATGGCTGGAATATCTAGATCAGCTACTCTTGTTGCAGCTTATTTAATGAAGAAAAACAATATGAGTGCTTAAGATGCTATAAGATTACTTGAAAGAAAAAGATGGTAAGTCTATCCTAATAATGGATTTCTTAGACAATTATAATAATATGAAAAGGTATTATTATAATAAAATGGAAGATCTGATATCTCTTCTCCTCTTAGAGATTAATGGTCTAAGTAAATAATAATAATTATATTTAGATAATTTTAAACACCAACTAAAGATAGTTTATTTTATAATAAATATGATGAATAACAATAATCAAGTCAAAAAACTAGACCATTGGATGAAATTTGTTTTGATAAATATAAAAGAAAGTCTGTTGGTTAAGGTGATTTAATTAGAAGTCCAGAAAATAATGAAAAGAAACCTTTTTCTTTAACTTAACATAGACCAAGTTCAGCTATTAGAACTACACCTGATTTAATGAAAAAAAAGAATGTATTATCTGATGCTAGTAATATTATATTTTATATTAATAATAGTTCATGGAAATAAGAAAGATGGTTTAGCTGCATTGGCTTTAGAATTAAATTAAATTGATTGGTAAAGTAAAAAATTAGATTTTGAAAGCAAATATTCAAAACCATCCATTTAATAAAATAATACTAAATCATTTTTGAGTCCTACTCGTCCTTTATAATTAAATCAACATCAAAGTAAATTGGATGAATTACTAAATTCTTTCAATAGAAAATCCATACTATGATTATAGAAATATATATATCCAAATAATCTTAATCCATTATTATTTTTAATGAACTCTCTGTCCAAACGTATTAGAAAGATCAAGAAAACCCCTAAAGTGACCACATTTGAAGATTCCGATGATCCATAATAATTCACAGCTTGCATAGCAAACCTCAATTAAATTGTGGCTGAAGATCAATGTTTCTCTAGTTTAACTATTTTCTAGTCAAATAAATTGTAACCAAGGAGTTATTGGTTAGATTGTTAGAATATTTACGACACAACAATGTTTAAGTTGTCATCAATGCTCTAAATGCTATCTAAAATGTATTACGTATTAGTGATAATTTTGGTTCTGAAGTTAGAGATCAATTCAAAGACTTAGGTTTATTGGGCATTTTATTATTATTCCCTGTATAGGAAAATACTCTATCAAGTTTCATGAGCGTAGCTATTGAAATATTTGAAACATGGGATATAGTATTATTAATGCCACTTTATTAAAGAATATTACCAATTTTAGAGAATTGTCTATAAAAAGTTTATAATGAGGATATCATATCAGAAACATTAAATTTATTATAGGTATTAACTGAAATACCTTAATTTAATTTAAAGAAGATAGATATTGATTAAATTTTCTAACATGATATTATTAAATAATTACATTTTGCCAATTAAATGAAATTGAAAGCATTAACACTTTAAACATACTTAAATATTGATAGATTAGACAATGAAATGTTTTAATTAATTAATGAAGTCATAAGAATCAATATCTTTTAAGAATTGGATAATATTGAATCATTTCTTTAAAAATAAATTACAATGGAGGAAGAATCTGAATTTAAATAAGATGAAAGATTACTTAGTACACTTTAAATTTGGAAATGTTCAGCTTAATCAATTATTTAAGTATTGGTTTATTTAAATCGAATTTATGAAGAAGATAATGATGATTAATATGTGAATAATAAGAAATTCTAATAATTCTTCTAAAAAAACATAATAGTTGAATTAGAAGAATTAGTAGTAAAAAATTTCTTTAATTATTCTGGAGTCATTCAAAAAAAATTATTTACAGATCAAACTACTTTCACTGATGAAATATTGAGTTTAACTTTATTAATTTTCAAGTAATTATACATTTAATAAATTTAAGTTTAGGAAATAATTTATTAGCCAATCTATAACCTTTAGTATGTTTATAAACAGTAGAACCAATTCTACCCTAAATATAAGCAGCCCTATAAGTTGATATTATTTCAGATGAAGATAAAAAAGAACTTGTTTAATCTGAATTTTTACTTTTGATAAAACTTTTAAAAGTGAATCCACAATTAGTGTTACAAATTCCACCATAATTTATAGTTTAATTGTCTGAATTAACAGAAACAACAGAAATACTATTTCATATTGTAGAAGTCATGAAAATAAGATATTCAAGTAAAGTGAAAAATGATTTGGAAACTATCCGTATAGTTACACAAAAATTACTTAAATTAATGAGCCAATCTAATATTTTGTTGGCAGCATAAGCTTTAGATTGTCTTTTTGATGTGTATACAGAAGAAGACTTTAATGCTCTTTTAGTGGAAATGAAGATTCTTGAACTGTTATCATAAGGATATTAATATTTATAATCATAATTACCATAAGAAAAGAAAACTTTAGCAAAAGATGATTGGAAATTCTTAAAGTTAACAGTTACAAATTTAAAGTAGTTTATTGAATACAAAATAAATATCATTAAGTGATTTATCATGTGTATATTAATTAATATAAATATTACATATATAATTTATAAAAAAATTAACAAATTAAATTCAAATGCTAAAATTCATCATTTTTTATTACCATCAATGAATTTACCTAATAATTCTTGAATACCATAATCACTCCATTCTCTATCCTTTTCTAATTTAGGTATTGATTCAGGAAGATCCAAATTGATATTATCTTTTTTATCAGAAACATAGATGTTGACATCTTTTAAAACATCCTTTCTCCATTTAGAATCAACTTTGTAACTTAATTAAGGATTTAGCATATTGAATGAGAAAACTCCATCTCTTCTTTATGATGAATTCATAATTTAAATATATATGAATTAAATATCAAATTTAAAGAATAGAAGATAATAAATATATATATATATATTTAGATTATATCTAATAATAACATATAGTTATTATGTACTGATTAACTAATAATTTTAGTATATAAATTAATACTTTATAAAATAAGCTCTAAAATTGTATTCAAATCAAATTAGAATACGAGATCTTTACTAAATTCAGGCAAGGAATATTCATCATCAAAATAGAATTGAACATTGTAATTCTGCAATTTTCTCTTTAATTTAAGAACATTTTTAGAAAAATTAGCTTAATTATTTAGGAAATCTGTCAATTGGAGCTTCATAAACTTTAGTTTTTGCTCCAGGAATTGCAGCAAGAATGAGATCATTAAAAGTATTCTTATTTTTGTATAGTTAAAGAATAATCCGAATCATCTATTAAAATAGGATATACTTCTGATATTAATTAACCTATTTATCATATTTATCTTAATATCTATAGAGTTCATAATCATATAAGAGTATGGCTATTCAATCGCTATAATTGTATAAATCCTTCTCTTCAGAAACACTTAAGTATAAATTATTATTTGAGTTCATATATGATGATTATTTAATTTGTACACATAGGAATATTAATTTATTGTGGATATAATCATTTCAGTAACAACTCTTTGGCTTCATTGATTTTAGTGGCCACATATGTAGATCCTCCTTGATCTGGATGATTAAGCATCAACAATGTACGATGACGAGTCTTTATTTAATCTAAAGGTGTTCCTTCTCTGACTCCTAAAATTAATTAGGCTTCTCTTCTTGTAAGTTGAGTAGAGAAAGTTCCTTTATAAAATGCTCTTGAAGTTTCTACAGTTTTGAAAAACTCCTTGCTTTTGATTTATCTGTAGGTACGAATCAATAGTTTTGTTCCTCCTCCAACTACAATTAAACCACAACCTATGGCAAATAGAGCAGATGACATAAATTTAATTTTATTTATGATTACTAATACAATTTATATTTTAATGAATGTTTCTCTAAAAGACATAATTCCAAACAAAAACTCTTCATAATTCAACCTTAACAAAATTCGCTTTAAAATCTCTAAAAAAGTGGAATCCTAATGTTAATGTAATCAAAGAAACTGCCTAATTTGTGCTCGTAAACGTTCTTCTTCGATGTTAAGCATGAAAAACTCTATTGTAGTTGATGAGAACTCACCTGTGTCTAAACGTACTGTAGAATAACCAAAACCAATCTAGCCATTTAATCGATCTATCTCTAGACAATAATCAAATCATATGGGAAGAGCCTCTGTTAATATCTCAAATACAACAACTACAACAATCAATTATGGTAGAACTAGAAAAACATCAGTGGAGTCATCACCTCCAAAAGACAATAGTATGATATTTAATTATTATTAATTTAGTTATTGGCAGACACTCCTTTAAATACTTATATGTAATTGGTAAGGGAGGTTTTGGAAAAGTATGGAGAGTAGAAATGAAGGCTAATAAATAGGAGTATGCATTAAAAGAAATGATAAAAGCAAAGTAAACCAAGAATACATTAACTAAAGGATCATATCTAAACGATCTGTTAATTCAGTTATGAATGAGAAATACCTTCTCGAGCATCTCAAACATCCTTTCCTTGTTAATATGCATTACGCATATCAAGATAGAGAAAATCTTTACTTAGTTCTTGATCTACTCAGAGGAGGAGATCTTCGTTATCACATAGGTAGATAAAAGAGATTTACTGAAGAATAAACAAGTAATTATATAATCATTTATATAATCAGAATTTTTTGTATGCTGTATCTTATTATCATTGTAATATTTGCATTAAAATGGTATCATTCATAGAGATATCAAACCTGAGAATTTAGTGTTTGATAAAGATGGTTATTTAAGATTAACTGATCTTGGAGTCGCACGATTAAATAAAGATTCTTAAGCTAGTGATACATCAGGAACTCCTGGTTATATGGCTCCTGAAGTTATGTGTAGAATGGATCATTCATTTCCAGTAGATTATTATGCTGTAGGAGTCATAGCATTCGAATTACTCCTTGGAAAACGTCCATATAATGGTAGAAATAGATAAGAAATTAGAGAATAGATATTAGCTAAATAAGTTTAAATGAGAGATGATAAATTTTCATCTAAAGTCTAAGATTTTATAAATAGAGTAAGAGTTACAAATAAATTTAGTTATTGATACGTAAACCTTAATAAAGATTAGGTTTTTAGGGAATACATGAATTATTTGAACATCCTTGGCTTTGTAATTATAATTGGGCTAAATTATTAAACAAAGAGATAAAAGCACCATATATACCAGGAGTATATATATAATAATGATTTAGAGCATAGATGGCAATTTTGATTATTAAAGCCAAATCTCTGCTGATTCTGAACCTTAAGAAGAAGCCTCTACTTTATTAAGAAGAAAGAGTGTATAATGCTTATTTGAAGGATATAAATATTTTTGATTATAGTATCATTTTTATTTACTTACACCTAAATTGGCTACTGTAATTCCTGCATTTAACATAGATACTAAGTAATTTGCATATTCATGAGCTCCTCTTTCTAATTCTTCAGCTTTTCTTTTTTCTAATCTTTTATGATGATTAACAGTTTCTTATTTGATTGTTTTTATTTCTGATTTCATCTTCTTTTTTCTATTCTCATTATCATCTCTCATTGCAATAGCTTCAGATTTTAATTGATCAGCTAATTTAATATATCTAGCAAATTTTAATTCTAATTCATCTTAATTTTTTTCAGATTCAGTAAATTTCATTTTGTATTCTTATATTTGATTTCTTGTTGAATATTTATTCTCAGCTAAATAGATTTATACAATTGGAGAAACTATAATATATAAAATAATATTTACATTTAATTGGTACCATAACTCTTTTGTTTCTTGCCTTAACTGTTGTTTAACTTAATACAATTGGAGGTAGTGATTATTCATATTATTGTTATTTTGCAAATTTCTATTCTGCTTATTTTTTAAATATATTGCCTGCTCCTAAATCAAGATTCCATTCTTTAAGATACTTTTAACTATTTGCAATTTCTATTCCTGTAAATAAATATGAAAATTCATCCAATAATTACTTTTTTAAATCATCATTAAATTTGCTTCTACTTAAAGGGAATGAATAAAATAAAGCATAAAATACACTTTAAGCTAATATATCAAAATAAGTTTTAAAAAATAATTGTCTATCATCTTTACGATCAATTGTTAAAAATAAATTGATATAATTTCTAGATATTCTTGTGAGTAATTTTTAATCTTCCTTTGGTAATTTATTAAAGTTAATTTTGGGATAAGTTTCAGATGTTTCATCAGGTTGAATATCTCTTTTAAAAAATTTAGTAACAACATACCAAAAGGAATCTGAAACAACAGCTTTATGTTCTTCTAAATTTAAATATTTCTGCCATTAAGTAAACATGGATTTTACCTTTATAATATGATCTTTAGTTTACTTCTAATAAACCATCTTCTTTATCATTTGATTTTGAAGGGAATTTCATACTATTTAAAACATTTGTGTTGATCTTCTTAAATTCTACTTAATTTGGAAGTGGTGTATAGAGTTCATCGAAAGTATTTGGTGGTTATGCTTCTTCAATTTTTAATATGGTTGTGGCTTTATTTTATTCTTAAGGTTCTGTTATATACGTAGCTGTTCCTAAAAATGTTGTTGTTGTTGGTCCTCTTCTTAAATCAGGAGCATACATTGTTAATCAAATATGTGAAATGAATGAAAATAATATTGATATAAAAAAATAATAATTCATCAATAAAATTACTATACAATTAGAAAATATTTTAGAATCTATAAAATTCAATAGTATTAGATTTATCTTAAAAACTAAATCCTATTCATAATATCTCCTTTATAAACAGAAGAAATTATAATTAATGGTAATTTTATATAAAAGTAAAAAATAAATAAAGAAGATTTGGAACCAATAAAAAGTTAAGAGGAATAAATTACTAATTATAAAGAGATATTTATAATATTCTTATTGTAATTTTTTGAAAATTCATTTAATTTAAACATTTAATAGTAAAGAAAATCAAATGTTATATTTCATTTTTTTATTGTATACTTAGTGCTCGATAATTTAGTAGATACTGTAGTTGTTGATAAATTGACTAATTCCTTTGATATTTCTTGATTTTTTCTTTCTTTTTCATATTTCTAAATTAAAACTTAAATTTATACTTTGTAATATATAAAGTATAATAGCAATATCACTAATTGTAATACAGAAATAACCATATATATTTCTTAAGCAGTATATGCTGTTTGACATGCATCATTTTTATAATTCAATCCTTACAGATAAATCAAAACTATAATACAATATATATTGTATATATACCACAAACTGGTATTTAAATAAGAATTCCTATAGTTGTTAAAAATTAATAAGGACCTGTTACTCTTTTATTTGCACTCATAAAAAAATTATAGGGAATTCCTAAAATAATTAACCAAACTGTTGAAAAAATCATTAAGTAATAAATATTGTCTTCCAAACAACTTTGTTTCTCATTTACTAATATCAAATATATAGAAACACAATTTATTGGTAAACTAGTTATTCTTATAACAATTTAACTGAAAAAGAATGCTAATACAACCTAAATCAAATTAATTAAATTACCCATAAAGCAGTAGTAGCCTAAAAGTAAAATGTTATTTGTTAAATATTAATGACATATTAACATTCATTTAAATTGATTTCAGTAGTCTGATAACTTTTCATAAATTCTATAATTCCCCAACATATATTTAAGAAGGCTAACAAAAAATTATCAGAAACTTGCATTTTCTCTTTAGCTTTTACATAAATAAATGCAGTTAAATTTAGAATAATCATGAAACTTGCACCTTTAATAGAAACAGATAAAAATTATTCTCCATCATCTAAATTTTAGATTATTTTTACTTGAACATATTTGATTAACCTTGGTAAGCATTTAAATTGATAGTATTGTATAAGCATTCATTCTCAAATACATGAGAATTATATGCATTCCTCTATCTGCAACGTTCATAATAAAATTTTATTTTTATATATAAATAATTAATGAATATTACTTTTAGTAAGAGTTTCTAATGTATAATATCTTTAAATATAATACATTAATTTGATAATATCATTAGTTTAATTATAAATTATTAAAAATCAATTAGGTATAATAAATAATAGATGCATTCTAATATATTAAAGTTGATTATAATATATAAATTATTTATAAAATATAAGTATTTATTAAATAGTTGAATAATTTGTAAATGTAGAATCACTCATTTTGTAAAGTAATTATTAGGATGAATCATATAGTTATCTGTTCCAACATTTAAATAATATGAACAGTTTTAAGGTGTAACTCTCTATTGTATTGATGTATAAGTGATTGGAGTAACAGCTTGGAGATTGGAATTGAGGTATTTAGCATATAAATCAAATGCAGATATAGTGATCTATTTGATTTGAATACTATTCTTAAAGCATAATTCTAAAAGTTACCTAAATTTCCAGGTAAAACTCTAAGCAAACTTACAACAACTTAAGAATTAGAAAAGCGAAGAATAAAATTGAATACATATCTATCCAGTATATCTGAAAGACTTGAAATAGTGACATGCCCTATATTTTGTGAGTTATTTGAAATAGCAAAATATGCTCCTAAATATGTTTTTGAATAACCAAAAATAATAAATTCTTAGTAACATCTTTAAACTATAAAAAATTGTCAATACATTAAAGAATAAGGTTTAGTTCTTATTATAATTATAAGAGGCTTTGCTTGTTGTGTCATCTCAAACTGAAGGATATAAATAATTAATTGCATTTATGTAAAATGATGAAAATTCAATATCTGAAGCTCTTGGATAAGTAGAATTATTTAGTTTAAAGGATAATTAGATTGTATTAAAATGGTCATAAATTTTTGATAATCAAGTACATAATAATTATAATTAAGGCTCAATGTTTATATTATTCAGAAGGTGCCTTAATTGTAGGACTTGAAAAAGGAAAAATTATTGTTTATTAATTGGATCAAGATTTGAATAAACCTTAACATCCTTCAAATTATTAAATGCATAAAATGAGAGTAAATGGAGTATTTTATCATAAACTAAAAAAAGTTATTTATTCCATTAGTTAAGATGGAACTTTTGTTGTAACTTAAAGAGATTATTTGAAACACAAAGATTGTATCTTGTAACATTATAATAGGTAGAATTGCTATTAAAGGGTGAATTGACGACTTTATTGGTTTGTGAATATCGTGAAATAGCATTTATTGGTAATTCTAAAGGCTCAGTATTTATGTTGGATTTAAACAAAGAAAATGTTTAATATTTAAAAAGAGTTGATTGTTAAGTATTATCTAAAATTGTTGATTTTGCCATTAATAATCAATAAGGGTTTTTATTTGCTGCATGTGAATCTGGCTATTTATAAGTTATAGATATAGGTTCAATTGGAAGAGAATCTAATTCTAAAACCAAAATTTGTATATCAACTAATTAACAAACTAAGAAAATTTCATATTGTTAATAGAGACATCATATATATATTGGTGATACTTTAGGGAATATTACTGTTATTAGTGAACAAACTGGATGTCCTATATGTATTATAACACAAAATATTCTTTTATAGATTCTTTAAGAGCTCATGAATTGGATGTAATGATCACATTAGTTTATTATTTAGAAGAATCTAATAAGGTTATTACTTATGGTAAAGATTAAATGTTTAAAATGTGGGAATTCCCTACTTGGATTAATTTAAATGAGATTAAGTATTAAGAATATTAAGAAATCAAACAAGAATAATTGAATAAACAATAAACTAAATCAAAATTATAGAAAAATAATTAAGCATATTAAGAAGATGATGAAGATGATTTGAATGATTGGCATAAAAATAATAAATGAATTATTTAAATCTATTTTAATACATTATTTCAACACCCATCTACCCTCACTATTATTGTGCCAGTGTTTAAGAGATTCCTTTTCAAAAATTAAAGTAAATAGGTGTTAAATGTCTACTATTTGATAGAGACAATACACTTACAAAACATTTAGAAACAAAAACTGTATATGAAGAATTATTGTCAAAACTAAAAAAAGATTTTGATTAAGTACTCTTAGTTTCTAATTCAAAAATAAATGAACATACATAATTAGGATTGAGTGTTGCAAAAACAACATCTAAAAAACCATTTAATTTTTAGGAGATTTAAAAAAATTATATAGATAAAAACATAAAATCTCATTAAATATGTGTTATAGGAGATAGATTATTTACTGATATGGTTTTAGCACATAAAAATGGTTTAATTGGTATCCTTGTTAAACCTATTGATATCAGTAATGAAGACTATTCAATTAGAGTTATGAGAATTTTTGAAAATTTTATAATGAGAAATAACTAATTGTAGAAGCATTCATATCATGGTAACCTAAATTTTTGATTTAGCATTTAGTATAAATATTAAATAATAAAGATTTATTTCTAGTATTTGAATATATATCAGTCTTTCTATTTTCATGTCATTTATAATTAATCTATATAATCATAAAAATGAATTTAAGTTTATTTTTGGAAAATAAAAATATAAATAAATATCAAGCAAATTAGAATATGTTCCATAAAATTAAGATGACCAATTTCTTTAAAATTAAGAAATAATTTTTAAATATGATAGCAATTATTATGATTATGATACCAAATTATATAATCTATGTTAGAAAATTACTATTCGAAATAAACTTTTAGAGTTATTGAATAAAAATTTAGCCAATTATATTATTATCTTTTTAGACTCTTAATTAAAAATTATATATTTAAGATGTTATGAGACTCCTCTTTATTATTGATTTAAAAAAAAAGAAATTTTCAAGGAAATCACTTATATTTGAAGACTTTTCATCATATTATTAAAACTATTCTGATATTTAATGTATTTCTTAATTTTCTTTCTACTTATTACTAAATTCTATTAATCTCATTAATTCGATTAACATAATACTAGTTTGTGTTTTTCTATTCATTTGTTTTTATTTCTATCGGTTTCAAACTTCTTTTAAACTTAGTAATTGAAACTATTTCAATTTATATATAAATAATAAATAATATTTAATATTTCATTATAAAATTTATAATAATTATTATTATTATCTTATTTATATAGATTTTTATAGGTTTTGCTTTTAAAATGAAGCCTAAAGGTATATTTTTGTATTATTAATATTCTTGGTTTATGAATTGGAACTTATAAATAAATATAAATTTTCATAAGAAAACAAAAGTCTTTCTTTTATTAAAATATATTGATGTAAATTTAAAACGAAGACAGTTAGTAAGTTACGAGAAATATTCAACAAAAATTTATCCTTAAGAATTCAAGGTTATTTGATTATTCTATTTAGTTTATATCTTATTTTTTTAAGTTTTTAAATTTTGTTTATTATTATTGTTTACTTCTCCAATTATAATATTCTAAGAATTTTTTAGAATTTCAATATAGTATATAATATTGATAACAAAAATTGTTCCAAAAATATTCACTATGGGAATATAATGCTCTAAAACTTAAAATTCTATGTTAATATTTTCAACTTTGAACTCATTTGAAGACAAAGAATAGTAACAAAACCATTAAGCTAATTAAACTTTAAAATATAGTTTTCCTCAAAAATAAATATTAGAAAGCATTAAAACTAAATTGTAATTACAGCAAGAGTTAAATCTTCCTCATCAACCAGATGATCCTGGAAGTCCTATGTAGGCATTATCTGAAAATACTTAGGAAGGTTTTGAATTTGCGAATATAAATTATTCATGTCCTACAACAACAAGAATCAATAGGAGTAACTCAAATTAATTTTCTCTATAACAAAATAAGACATTAAGTATTAAAAATATACAATTTTCTCCATCAATTTTAAATAAATAAAATATTGAAGCAAAAAAAGGAATAATAAAGAAAAGTAGATATAATAATGATTCTTAATCTCCAAATTCTGTATAAACAATTAAATCTGTTAGATTTTTAATAACTGAACAAGTAAGAGTTAAAACTAAAATGGTACGAACATAAAGTTTATGTAGAAAATATTCAAGCAAACGATTAAATTCATCAACTATTTATAGTAATTGTGATTAATCTTTATATTACAAAATTGAATTCTGAAAAGTTTGAATTAATTTATTGATCAAAATTAAAAGTTATACCTAATTGATCTCTTAAGTATTTCTATACTTTATTAATGATCATTTTCTTTTTTAAAGAACAATTTAATGAATGCTTATTCAGTATGTCTCATTTTCAATCCTTTTCTAATGCTCTAGAACAATATTTAATTTAAAAACTAAAAATAATAAACACTCCTCTATTTTAGTATCTAAAATAAAGAAGAGAATGATTTTAAATATGTAATAATTATCAATCCTAATTAAAGTAAATCAAATACAAAACTTCAGATACTAAAACATATTGAAATCTAATGAGTATTTACTAATAGATTGAATAATTTGATTACATTATAAAGTCAAATGGATTATTACAAAAATCAGAGTCAAAAAGACACGTTGAGCTAATAAAGGATCTGTACTTTATTCAATTCAACTGTACTTTAGAATATTTATAATATCAATAAATATTTAGTGAAGTAGAAACAATGAATCTTTATTTGGCTTCATCTAAATTTATTTATTTATCGATTTTTCAATTCCGAAATTTATTCATATAATTCAATACATTAATAATGATGTCAATCCAAAAAAAAAATAGATTAATAATAATATACACTTTAAACATTTATTAATACTTGAATGAATGAATATCCTCAAAGCTAGTTTTAATATATCAAAACCTACTTTCTGAAGAATAGTATTGCAAAATAGATAATACCAGATAATTTAGATGATATTTAACCAGAGTAATCATAAAATTTAAATTTAGAACATTAGATGACTACTCTACCAACCATTAATCACATAGAAGAGTTAAATCTGATATAGTGTAAAAAAAAGAAGCATAAAACCTTAAGTTCGTTTAATAGTTTTCATAACAAACCGATACATCGACATAAAATCAAAGCTTCAAATCATAAGGTATTTTGAAAAAATCGCAAAGAAGCACAACTAACTAGAGTGATAAAACTAGGTCCCATAAAAAAAAAGTACATTTTCTATGAAAAAAGTGAAATTTAAGTCAATTTTGACAATAAATTGTATTTATTTATCATACCCTTTTTCACTATATTTGTATTTAAATCCCTTAAGATATATAACAATTCGAAACAAAAATGTTCATCATATTTTAGTTACTTTTTCATCATAAAGAAATTGATAAATAACTAAGATGTGAATACATTAGATTTGTTAAATTCTTATTGTTATAGTTATATTTATTAATGCTCCCTTAAAATTTCTTATTTTTAAAAACAAATAATATTTTAGGAATACTTCATTCCTCTTTCTTAAATAGCATCATAAAAGAATGTGAAGTATTGAATTAACTTTAAAGAAAATCTTTCCGCATGTATAATTTAAGAAAAAAGATTTAATTATCAGCAATAACTAATATTTTTAAACATGAAATCATAATAGAACTTTTCTATTGTTTAAAACATGAAAGCTTACTTTTCAGACGATTTATACAAACTATAAAAACGAATAGATAGTCCTATAACAAGCTAAAATAGTATTAATACTAATATACTTTTGCTACCTGATTTAAAATCAATAATCTTAAATGAAAGTGATTTAGAAAGATTAAATTATGAAGGGTTTCTTCCCAATGAAACATACTCAAGAAGTGTTACAACTGATACCTCAAGTATTTATAAAATTTAAAATAGGTAAACTGCCCATAATTGAAGACCAATTCGTTAGTGAGACGTCCATTTATCAAGAGTTTGACGAATTTTGATGTTGCCCATTATTGAATATAGGATGAAATATATTATATTCTCAGAATTCTCTGATATCACTTAATTAAAATAAAATACATTATAAAGTCACATTTAATTCCAAAAAACCCATCTGCTAAAGTTGTTCCATACTTTGATTTAAAGGGATCATAAACTGGAAAATAGAAAACGGAAAATATACTGCATAAGAATAATATAGTTCCTAAACCTTTCAGAAAAGCTTTTTTTCCTTCTAAGCGCCAAGTTTCTTAAACGAATTTTTTTACGCAACTACTGTCAACAAGTTAGTATCTAGTAATAATGAAATCAACAGGATTGACTAAGGCTGCAGCCAAGGCAATTGAAATCCTTGATTCAATAATTGATTGATGAATGGCCATAGGTTGATTTTTTAAAGTGGGATCAATTCTTTTTTTCAAGATTTGATATCTTTATAATTTTTAGAACCACATTTAGAATGTTTTGTATAAAACTACTGATGCTAAATATAAGTAAGATGCCTAGAATAAACGACTCCAACCTTCTTTTCTAGAAGTTTCCATTAAACCTGAAAATATTCCCTTATAATTGTATTCAGGAATATTCATCTACATTATGGTTCTTAAGGTATCAAAAGGAATGTAAGCTATATAATTATTTAATTAAACTTATGACAGAAACAGCTTCAGCCAAAGGTTAAGTGAGGAATCAATAAATTAAGCTTACTTTTTTTGCCATCCTTCTATAAACCTTTTGTTATTTTAATTGCATAAGAATTCATATATTCATAAGCCAAAAATATGAACCATAAAGAACAAATGAACCTATTTTTAAGCAATAAGAAAATACCCATTACTGTTGTAGAAAACCCTTTAAATAAATATTTAAATCCTTCATTCTTAACTATAAGATCATATCCTTGTTTCATTCCCAAGAACTCAGACTAATGTGCTTTTATTCTTGTTTCAATGGTATCGAAAGGAAACATTACTATATCAATAACCAAAGAGGCAAGACCTCAATAAAATGCTATTAATAATGGATTGAATTATTATTGCTTTTCTGTCATGTATATAAATTTTAATTATTGGTAATTTTATAATTGTAAATAAATTAATAAATCAATAAACGACATTCTTCCAACCATGTAATTCGTCATGTAATTCTTATCTAAACTCTTCAAGATGCTTGTATACAAAGTGCTTTTTCTTAGAATTATCCACTATATCTTATCTATAATTATCGCCTAAAGTATGCATTTATCCAGATTATAGTAATAGAACATTACCAGGATGTTTATTCTTATAATTCTTAATTTTATAAATATATGAAAAAGTTGTGCTCTGTCTAGCTGCTATAACATGAACCTCATCAATCACTATTCTATATTCCCCCCTCAAAAAGCATTCTTCAATTTACATCTACTTTTAAGTTCCTTGTTTAGGGATGATGGCAATCTCAGGATATTGAAAGTATTCTATTATTTCTTGTTTTGTTAATTTTTTAGAGGAAATAAACATTGTGAATGTTCCATCCCTCCAAAATCGAATATATCTAAAGAAATCTACTCTATAACATGGAGCACTTGATTATTAAAATTAAGCCTCTCCATATTTGATGTAGTATTCCTTCATAGCATATATACCGCAGTAATTTAATCTCAATTATTAATCATACATATCCTTATGTGATTGATATTGTAAACGCAATTCTTAATAATTTATTATTTATTATTAAGCATTCCCCCAATTATTCCATATCGTTTAACTTGGATTTTGGTTGATATCATTAATGAGTTGTAATTATTATTCATATAGATGTAAGTTTTCATTTATGTACTTCCTTGTCTTTTCAAAAGGACTAATTATTATAGGTTTTATTTCAATTTAATCAAATAAAGCTTTACAAAACTTTTAATAAAACTTATCACTTATTTAGGGATTATTGAAAATTTCATTCATTTTTAAACATACCAATCTATTTGTATGTAAAGAATATGGATCAAGGAAATCCATAATTAATAAATGTATATAAGGTGGCAATTCTAGGAATTTGCTGTCTTGCTATACTATTGGTCTCTCTTATACTTCAAGAGCCTATAGCTTCTACTTTTCCTCTTCTACATTGAGTTTTTCTAGAGAACTGATCAACTTTTCATAGCTGACTCTCTATTTTAAAAAATTCTTTAATTCTTTCAAATTACCATATGTCATAGATTTCACTAATCCTTGTAATTAGTTTTAGTATTTTAACTCTTCTATTAGCTTATCTATCAATTCTGGTCTTTTAATATTATAAAGAACTCTGTAGAGAATATCGATATCACTATCTAAAACATCGTATAGGTATTAGACTTATAATTTGGTTAAATTATAAAATTCTAATAGCACTTATTTCGGGACCTAATTAATTGTCTGTAACATTAATAATTGATTTAAAAGTTATTAAAGAATTTAAAATATTACAATACAATAAAAGAATTATATTGTTATTAATGATTAAATTATTATGGAAATAATTTTCGAAATAAGTAATTAGATCAAAGTAATTATTAGTACAAAGAAATAACTAGCAAGAAATTCAAGATTATTTTAGACAATTAAAAATCCAATCTGCCTAATAAAGAAAGGTAAACTTTACTATTAATTTTTAAAAAGGATTTTGAGAACATTGCATTACAACTTTTGTCAAAGGAATAAGATAAATGTAAAGCTTATTTCTATTTCCTTGAAATATCAAATGATGTGACATTAAAAACTCTTCTTTCAGAGATCTTCACAAAAGCCTTCTTATAATTAAATGATTTTGGGAATAAATAATTAGCCTTAGAAAAATGGCAACTTATTCCTTTAGATTTTATAGAAGATTACATGAAAGGGTTTGATATTAAACCGGCTGAAATCTAAGAGTAATTCATTTATCTATTAAAAGTGCTTAAGTAAAAATATTAACTTTATTATAAAATAAAAAGCCGCTTTAAGCTATGAAATTAATCATGATTTTTAAAGATCAATTAAACATGTCTTTGTTTATTGATAAATTCATTTAATTAGATGCAGTATAAGATTTTTCTAAAATATGCATTACATCTCCAAATCTACTAAAAGATTTTTTGATTAAATTAACATAGTCAGATAAAAGACATCATCAAAAATTTGCTACAGAGTTAATTAGAAAATATAACCTCAAAAAAGAAGACTATCCTTAATTAATTAAAATCTAAAATAGATAAGCAATTGATAGAACATATTTCCCTAAAATAGAAGAACCTTATGAGAGAGTCGAAGAACGTTTGGAGGGATACCCTTATATGCTTTGTCATGCAATAGATAAATTATTGGAACACAATAAGATAAATGAAGCATATTCTATTGCTATTAGATAAGGGTTGAATGATCAATACAAACTAAATGGTGTACTCCTTGAAAATCCACTATTAAAATATGATGGTTTTGGAATTACAGAATAAATTTGTTATAAAGAAGATCCATCTGGCTTCATTTAATTTTCTGATTTCAATATAAATGAGGAGTAAATTGAATTTATTGATTCAGTTGAAAAATTAATGCTAATAAAAGATTTAATTTTAAATTCTTAAATTACAGGATTTGATACAGAGTTTTGTCATTATTTTGATGAATTTGCAATTGGAGGAGTAGCAATAATGTAAATTTCAACTGAAAAAAATATTTATATAATTGATATATTTAATTTAAGGGAAAAATAAGAATTACTTCAATTCTTAAATAGTTATTTTGCAAGTAATAAAATCAAAATTGGACATAGTGTATGGAATGATTTTACCGTTATGGCTTAAAATATGAATTTAGATTAAACAGTTGAACCAACTAATATTGTGGATTTAACATTTTTATATAATGAGGTTTTTCCAGAAAACAAAAATAATGTTTCATTAGCTAACTAAGTATATTAATTATTTGGAAAGAAATTATCAAAAAAAGAATGTTTCTCTAATTGGTAGAGGAGACCTTTAAGAAAATGTTAATTACATTATGGAGCAATGGATGCTTATATTTGTATTGCCCTTTATTTAAAATTAAATGAATTGAAAAATCTTGACTTAGATTAGTTACCCTAACTTTAATAGCAGCATTAAACTTAATAAAAATAGAAAAAAGTCTTACAAATTTAAAAAGGGGAGCATTTAAGATATGATATATAATTCTAAAAGTTAATTGATGATAAATAGAATATGAAATTTTTAGTTGATTCAATGCTTAAAAAATTGGCAGCTTTTCTTAGAAATCTTGGAATTGATGCTGAGTATAATGAGAAGAATGACCATTTTAATATTGAATAATAAGCCATTGCTGAATAAAGAATAATTATTACAAGAGATAAAAAACTATTTGAAAAACCTTAATTGAAAGCACCTTGTCTGATATTGTCAGATAACTTTAACACTGGTAATTTATTGAAGTAGATATAGAATAATAATTTGATGAAATGTTAAAAGAATTATAATTTTAAATACGTGAAGATAAAATTTTATCCAGATGCGTGAAATGCAATTTTGATCATGTGATTAAAATTACACCAAAAAAAGCAGAATAGTATTTAGATTTTAAAAATGTAAAAATATATATTTATAATAGAATGATTCATTTGGATAAATTAAAATATTCTGGTAATGTGAAAAATGTTTATAAGTTTATTGGGAAGGAAACCAATTTAAAAATTCAATATAAAGATTCACTAAAGTAGCCAAAAATAAGGATGATTGATAAAGAGTGATTTAATATTAAATAGTCATTTTAATAATAAGAATTATTATAACAATATTATTCTTTTTTAATTAACTTCACTAAAAGTATAATCATTAATTAAAAATATCATATTATATTAAATAATTAGACCTAAATATCAAAATATTTTTTATCTTTGATGATACAATTAAAGGAGGAATAACGGTTGGGATTCATTAGCCATTCTTTTTCAAAAATATATTGGATATACTGCATAAGTTCCATGAGTTATTAGAGTGGTTGTTAATTCACATAACAGATTAACAATTAGTATTATTTATACTAAATAATTACTCACCTTCAGAACAGTATTATAAAAAATCAAAAAAGCACCTATAAATACTTTATTCTAAATCTCATGCAAGCAAAGGGAAAACGTATTTATAATATGTGGAAATATCAATTATTCAACAAATTTAATGCCCTTTATAAAGGATTTTATTCAAATCTAATAGTACACATTCAAAAGAATAATCGAATAAAAGGAAGTTAATAGTAAAACAGACTGTATACTGGTAAACTACAATTCTTAAGTTCATCTTAATGTTTAAGTGACATGTAAAATAGATCACTTATTTGAGTGGGAAAAATTTAATTATAAAATCACTCAATCTACCAATTCAAAAAAATATTTATTTTTTTTATTTCAACTCTATAATGAAATTTTTTCATAAATAATTAATTTATAAAACTATAGCAAGACATTATTAAATAATTAATATTTTTGAAATGCTTAAAATTTGTGTATTTATCATTAGATGCAGACTTATTTTTAGCCAGTGGGATTATTTGTAATTTTAAAGGAGCGAATTATATTTGATTCACAATCTTGTCTATTTATTGTAGGATTGCGAGATACTTTAAAGTGTAAAACTCCCATTCTATCTTCTAATTGTTATCCTAAAGTTTTTTCCTTATTATTTAGAAGGTCATTTAATGCCTCCGGTTGAATATCTAAATTTTAAACAAATTATTCATCAATTTAAGGTAACTATTAATAAGAAGCTAAACCTTACAATCTAATTTAAAGAACTTTAATAATTCATATCAGGTATTCCTAATTTATCAAAGAGAGATTCTAATGAAAATTTCGATTCTAAATATTTTTTAATTTGTTATAATCCTATATGTTCTTATAAGATTAATTATAATCTAATATAGAATTAAAAAATAATTTACTTGGCTACTTCATTTTATAAATTCAAATAATTCATTTTTTCAATTGCAATTTGATCTAATCGATTAAGAATTTCTTAAGATTTTTAAAGATCATATTCTTTTCCTTTACAATTTACCCTTTAGATTTTACCTAACCAATTCTTTTAAATTTAAAAATCAATAAAATCATTATAATACATTGTTATTATTTCTCTTTAAGTTTTTTCTATACTTAAATTTTCATTATATTTTGAAACAATAAATGATATTGAAAGAATCCAAGAGATTATTGAACCAGTATCAGCTAATATTTCTGATATTTTTGGATATTCAACCATATTTACTATTTTTATTTAATCTAAATTAAAATAAAATATAGAAATTAATTCTTCTCCATATACTTTTTTAGCATGCTCTTAATCAAATTAAGTAGTTATGATAGATAAATCAGAAAAGTAATTGTATTTATTAGAGTTTGGAAATAAAAATCCATCATCTACTATTAAATCTCCTGCTTTTAACATAAATTAATTTTAAAACATTGAATTTTTTATTAATTCAAAAACAAAAAATCTTGGAATTTTAACAATTTGTTTACTTTTAGGATCAAATTGTTCTAAATATATCAACATCTAATAGTAGTTGTCTTATAAAAAAAATTAATTGATTAAGTTCTATCCAGCACATTTTTATCCATTTTAAAGTAGCTATGGATTGCAATATCCAAATGATAATTGATAATTTATATATTTATGATCTGGTGAACCTATTGGTGAATTTTTAATTTCAATATCTTCAATAAAGAGTGTATTTACAGTTTTACCATCTTATGTTTTCCTATATTAGAAAGTTGCATTGATAGTAGTTTCCTAGAGAATAATATAGCATTACCTCAAAATAACTAGTTGTAATAATTAATTATGGTTGTAATATCATATTTTATGGATCAAAAGGATCTATTTAATTTGATAATTCTTAAAAGTAGCTTATTTCAGCAAATACTCCTTGAAATTTCAATGTTTAATCAATATTGATCTGTTAATGTAGTGATGTTATTTTTGGAAGTTTGTTGTTTTATTGCCAATCAACAAATTGAAATAGAAAATATCCTAAGCTTATACCATACAATGTTAATGTTACTAATCCACCCAAAGCACTTTTCTAGGTGGGATTGATTGGTGGAATTTACAGTTTCTACTAAACTCCAAATTGATCAACTGATTATAAAAAGTATAACATTGTTGAATATTTATTGATTAAGTCTTATTTAATTATAAGAATTATCTATTCATATACCTTTGTTTTTATATTTTTTGAGTTTAATTAATTCTACCCAATGATTAGGTTAACTAAAAGATGAATTTTATTTAAAACACATCATGATTATTTTATAATCTAATAATTTTTAGCAATTAAATTCCATTTACAATCACTACTTCTTATCTGATTTTATTTAAATCTAGATGATTAATATCATTAACTTTTAAAAAAATATTTCTAAAATTGATTAAATTTGAAAAATATTCTTAGTGGAATAATTTTAGGATGAATTACATTTTCAAATAGTAGCGGAAGAGAAAATAAAATTGCTAAATTCATAAATAAATAATTAGATATCGATTATTGAATTTAAATTATTGATATTGTATATAATAATCTATTATTTTTAGATCACTTAATTTCATCAGTCTTATCAACATTGATGACTGTTAAATAATTATTATTTTGTTAGAGGGATTCTTAAATTTATAAATTGCTATTCTGCTCTCTAAATTAGAGATTTTCATGGGTTTTCATATCTAAAAGCCCCATCCTTTATTCTACTTCTTGCTCTACAATATCTTTATTAAATTTAGAATCGATTTCTCCTTCTATATTTAATTATTAATCTACTTCCTATTGCAATTCTTGTTAGGCATGCTTAAAAAATGAAAAGATAATTACAATTTAATTGATTTCTTATTATTACGAGATTTTTTCAGGTATTCCTAATTTATCAAAGAGAGATTCTAATGAAAATTTCGATTCTAAATATTTTTTAATTTGTTATAATCCTATATGTTCTTATAAGATTAATTATAATCTAATATAGAATTAAAAAATAATTTACTTGGCTACTTCATTTTATAAATTCAAATAATTCATTTTTTCAATTGCAATTTGATCTAATCGATTAAGAATTTCTTAAGATTTTTAAAGATCATATTCTTTTCCTTTACAATTTACCCTTTAGATTTTACCTAACCAATTCTTTTAAATTTAAAAATCAATAAAATCATTATAATACATTGTTATTATTTCTCTTTAAGTTTTTTCTATACTTAAATTTTCATTATATTTTGAAACAATAAATGATATTGAAAGAATCCAAGAGATTATTGAACCAGTATCAGCTAATATTTCTGATATTTTTGGATATTCAACCATATTTACTATTTTTATTTAATCTAAATTAAAATAAAATATAGAAATTAATTCTTCTCCATATACTTTTTTAGCATGCTCTTAATCAAATTAAGTAGTTATGATAGATAAATCAGAAAAGTAATTGTATTTATTAGAGTTTGGAAATAAAAATCCATCATCTACTATTAAATCTCCTGCTTTTAACATAAATTAATTTTAAAATAGTGATTTTTAAATCATTTCAATAATGAATTCTCTTGGAACTTTAACAATTTGTTTACTTTTTGGATCAAATTGTTCTAAATATATCAATATCTAATAGTAGTTGTCTTATAAAAAAAATTAATTGATTAAGTTCTATCCAGCACATTTTTATCCATTTTAAAGTAGCTATGGATTGCAATATCCAAATGATAATTGATAATTTATATATTTATGATCTGGTGAACCTATTGGTGAATTTTTAATTTCAATATCTTAAATAAAGAGTGTATTTACAGTTTTACCATCTTATGTTTTCCTATATTAGAAAGTTGCATTGATAGTAGTTTCCTAGAGAATAATATAACTTTACCTCATAATAACTTGTTTAAATAATTAATTATGGTTGTAAAATCATATTTTATGGATCAAAAGGATCTATTTAATTTGATAATTCTTAAAAGTAGCTTATTTCAGCAAATACTCCTTGAAATTTCAATGTTTAATCAATATTGATCTGTTAATGTAGTGATGTTATTTTTGGAAGTTTGTTGTTTTATTGCCAATCAACAAATTGAAATAGAAAATATCCTAAGCTTATACCATACAATGTTAATGTTACTAATCCACCCAAAGCACTTTTCTAGGTGGGATTGATTAGTGGAATTTACAGTTTCTACTAAACTCCAAATTGATCAACTGATTATAAAAAGTATAACATTGTTTAATATTTATTGATTAAGTCTTATTTAATTATAAGAATTATCTATTCATATACTTTTGTTTTTTTATTTCTATTGTTTACTTAGAAACGTAAAGTGACATAATGAATAATTGAATCCAATAACTTTGAGTTAAACATTATTTTTAAATTGTCTCCTTCTCAAAAATTGCCAGTTCTTTTGAATAATAAATTTATCTAAAATGATATTTAGTTACTAGAAAAAGTTGGAGTAGATTAATAAAATAAAAAGATAAAATTTAGTGGAATTGAAATTAATGATTAAACTATAAAATAATTATTAAAACTTGAATTTTCAGAAATCGTTTAAGTATTATTGGGAATTATTTTTTCTAAAAATCTTTTTCCTTATATTCCCTATTGCAGATGCCTTCTAAATCATCAGTAATTTATGCTGTAATATTCAGTTATTATAATGGTGATGAAATGAATAAAATTTTTCCAGAAATAACCAGATCGCCTTGATTTCTAC